GAATTTTTGGAGTCAATGATTTTTGTTAAGATTGACTTTTATGGATAGGTCTCGAAGAGACGAATCCAACGGTTTATTTTATGAGTAAATCTGATGTACAGAGGTTCAGTTATGACATTTTAAATATGTAATTTGTATAAAAATGAGAAAAAGTCAAAGAAGTGAACTTTTGTAAAATGACTTATTGAATTAAATATTTATATTTAATAATATTGGTTGAATATGAGACTAATTTTAATTACATATCAATTAATTCAATTTTGACTCTATCAAAGTAAACACCCAAAAATATGCTGTCATAAAAAGTATTTCAAATAAATATAAAAATTATATCATTAAATAGAGTTTGACTGTCTGATCGCAACGGTGTGAACGGATTTCAATTTGGATAAAATTGGACCAAAAAGTGTACCCCAATTGAGGTAATTTAATCAAACTAAACTGGAAGGAATTAAATAGCAGCCGCCTCCTCCACTTAGACGATCGGCCAACGTAGGAAAATCACAGAGCTCCAACACGCCACTCCCTCTCCCAGGCTTATATATAGGGTCATTCATTCTTCATCATCTCCCCACCAAAATCATCCCATTAGTTAGAGGAGAGTTCAGAGAATTGAGAGAAGCTGTCCGGAGAGCTTCCCGTCGCCGGTGCAAGCCATGGTGTTCGCCGGAAGTTTCGCCATTTTTCCGCCGGAATCATCGTTTTACTTCGAAGTAAGCCCGTATATATATCTAGTGACTAGAATGTTCGTATAGATCGTTTCTACGCTCATAAATGGTCGTTTGGTTGAGTTTTGTGTTTGACATATGTGAAGAACCAAGAATCATAAACCTTGAATTTGATGTTAAAACTTCAAATTGATGCCTCTAAAATGATCTACGAACCTTGGAGAACATTTCTATATAGTTTAATTGAAGTTTGGTGACCAAAAATGGAACTTGAGAAAAATGGGCTAGAGGTTGAAGATGATGAATAGTGAACCTTCAATTTCCTGCATTTTCCAGCGGAACGGGCGACCGTTCGGACCCAACGGTCGACCGTTACGAACATTTTTAAGCCCAAAAATGCTATTTTTGAAGCTATAANGGATGTTCGATGCATTAGATATGCTTACTCAGCTTCAACGCTGAGCGTGTAGTATGTTTTATTTGCTACACGCAGGTAAACAGAAAGATTAATGTGATCCTGGCGGCAGATGGGGCGAGATTGTCGGGATGGATGTGACAAGTTTTGAAATGATTTATGATATGTCAATATTAAATTCGCTTCCGCAATATTGTTAAATACTCCGTACTGTATATGTTATGAAAAATATTTTTGAGATTAATAAAGTGTGTTTGAAAAGTTTTAAATTTTACGATTACCAAGTTAAATACTTTAGTCCGAATGGGGCTGCTGACCTGGACGGATTAGGGTGTTACAGATACTCTTCCCATAATCGTGATATATATAGTCTCTAGAACCTGACCATTGATGGAAAAGTAATTATCACCAGCCAAAATGCGTACAGTAAAATGGATTCAATTTACCTGCAGACGAGAACGTACTCGCTAATACTATAGTATGCTGAAGATATGACGTATTGAGACTCTTGAATAGTTTGATTTGCTGTGCTGAAACACGTTCAAATCCGAGACGAAAAGTCAAAACGGCTATTTCCTAAGACAACGACCTCTTGAGTGACTTCCAAAGAGTGAAACATTGAAGGAAGAAAACCTACTATTAGTAAGGGTAATTTGCAAATGCTATCTTAATATCTTATGACTCATATCCTTGAATTACTCAAACTTGATGTGTTAACTACACCCTTGAAACATCCCGCTTGATCAATCTTGAAAAGATTGAATTCCATTCTTTGTATCAAAATAATAAAACCACGATTCTTCATTTAAGTAAAAGATGTTTTATGATACCAATCTTTGAAAACTATACCTTTTGGAATACGTGACTCGATCACAATAGTAAAACTACCTTGACTTGAACATTATGCTGAACCTCTCTTTGTGGACCACAAAACAATCAATACAATTACGTTATCTCTAAAGATCATTATCGATGATCTTATTGACCAAGCAAACTCCATTATAACCCTGACAAGGAAATGTGTATGCAACCACGAGAGAAGAAATGACGTCACAAAGAAAAGATGAATCATTCAAGCGAAAATCCCGAACCTATATGCAATGTTGGTGTAAGAACTAGTAAAGATCCCTCACTCTATGAATTCGTGAATTGAGTCACATGCTGAAGATATTTTTTTTCCCTCGAAACGATATCAGCCATAGTGCTAATATCGAATATGTCGCTATCATATCTAGATATGTTTTCAAATTAATAGAAGAAGTTTGAATACGATAAGTCGTACATGAGACGCTACTCAAACGTCATCACCTATGAATACGAAGACTCATTAAACGATAAATGAGCGCTACCATGAAGTGAATGAAGAAATGTTTCGATGTAAATCGATGATAACAAGCTACTGTACAATCAATCGAAAGTACTTCCTTATAAATGATGACAAATCCCATATTCTGAACCGATGAAAGCCATTTAATGTTATTTACGAGTCATTGATGGACTATGTGAACGATGTGAAGATGTTTTGAAACAAACTCTAAATCCCGAACTATACCTATCGTAAAGGTGATGATTCGAAACT